GCGTCTGCCTTCGGCTCAGGTCATGATCCCAGGGTCCTGGGATCGAGCCCCGCATCGGGCTCCCTGCTCCTTGGGAGCCTGCTTCTCCCTCTGCTTCCCTCTGTCTCTCTCTCTCCCCCTCTCTCTCTCCTCCTCTGCCTCTCATGAATAAATAAATAAAATCTAAAAAAAAACAAAAAAAAAACTGGGAATCTCTGGAGAAAATGGGAAGAACTTTTGGGGGGAAACATTATGGCTCAGAAGTATATCTAGCCTCTTCAGCTTCCAGAGCGATTTAGAAAGGGGCAGGTGGACCGGGTAAGGTGGGTGTAGAGGAGAGCCAACCTGAGGTGGGAGGGGGCTGGAAGGGGACAAGCAGACCCCCGCGGAACTTCCAGAAGCCTGCTTCTGACATGGCACAGCGCTCTGACAACGCACAAGTTGCTTCTCATCTCCCCCTGAGCCTTGCAGATATTGAAGGCCCCACAGTGACTGTCTTCTGCATGAAGATCTTCCATTTCCAAAAGCCTTCCCTTCTTAAAGGCTGAACTAGCCCCCATTCCTCCCCCAGCCGTCTGACACAGATTCTGAAACTCGCACCAGCAAACCTTCAGAGATATTGTAACTGGGCTGAAGTGGCTTATACTTTGGACGTCATCCCTCTGGTGGCCCCAGAGGTTTCATTCCACTCACAGTGTCATCCATGGTCACCTGTATCACATCTGTTCTTTCATGTGTGTTATTTCTACTCGGTTTTCCATGGGTGAGGACAGGAATCAAGTATGTATTGACCCAGAAGAACCAGTTCCTGTCGATTCTTCTGCCACCAGTGAATGAGGAACGTCTGATTTCGAACAGAGACAAACCCCTGAATCTTGCACACATTTTCTTCCATTCTTACTGGCCTGAGTCGCAGGAAGTCACAGACTATGGCCCAGAGGCTACCTCTTCATAACAGGGTTAGGGTCCTAAATCTGGCACTGAATTAACCTGTAGCACCAGGTGAGTGAGGGGATAAAGAAGACCAATACTCTGGATTTGCTCAAAAAAGAGAGAGCTTGCTTGGCATGTACCAAATGGTACTTGGCACCAAGCACATTGTCTATATTAGATGTATCAAGGTCTCTGGCTCATGAGTATATTGTGTAGCTTTGAATAAAGCATCAGCCAATCTGGTATAAACTGAGCAGGGGAATTGTGACAAAAACTTTGCATTTTCCAGGTATCCTTTTATGAGTGCATGAATATCAGTCTGGGAGCATCCTACACAACCTACTGACAACTTTTGCAAAGAGAAAACTGCCCTCCTCTCTGGCATTCATGATCTGGTTTTTAAATTTCTCTGTGCCTCATCATCCTCCTCTCTCAGGGGATGTTAATGAGAATGACCACTTTTTACAACTGTTCTAAAGACTTAAGGGCCTAATACGCATGATGGCACTAGCTTACTGAGGTACAAACCAAAAACATGATCAAATAAGCCATGGTTGTTATTGTTAAAAGAATGAATCTCATTGCTACTTCTATGGATGAAGGCCTTTGTGCAGCAGTGATGTTGCAAACACCAGTGTAAACTCAGCATCTTTTTATTTTTTTAAAAGAGTTTATTTATTTATGTGTGAGAGAGAGAGAGAGAGAGAGAGCAGGAGAGGGGGGGAGGTCAGAGGGAGAGGCAGACTCCCCGCTGAGCAGGGAGCCTGAAGCGGGACTCGATTCTGGGACTCCAGGATCATGATCTGAGCCGAAGGCAGTCACTTAACCAACTGAGCCACCCAGGCAACCTCAGCATCTTTTTCAAATGCCTGCAATCTTGTGCTATTTTTATGGTAATGAGCTAATTCCCACCATGGCAGGCAGAGTTTTGTCCATCCTCAGGATTAAGGTTTACTTCAAGATTTCAGCTAGTCTATTTCTAAAGCTGATCATTGCCAAAATGTTTCCCAATAATAGGCTATCAATTTGGGGAAGGCACGGAGAGAGGTCTTGGAGAAAGGCAGATCGTAGGAAGAAGGCCACAAATCAGGGAATCAGGAAAAGGAAAGACTGACGTCCAAGAAACGTTCTTTTACTATGAGCAGAAGTCCCTCTGGACTAGCACACTAGGCAGGGGCTTGGAGTATTCATTTCTCCCCAGTGTGCAGCGATCTGTCCGTACTCGGACCATTCTAGCATCTCCTTTATGCCAGCATGGCTGCTCGTATTTTGGAAAGCTTTTCAACAGGAGAAACGAGGGGCTTTTCCTCCAGGACCTCACAAAGAACCTCAGGAGAGGAAGCTTAAGAAATGTATAGGTGCTGGCTTTGGGATGAGCCAGGTGGTGAGCAGAAGGTCCTGGCTCCCAGCAACAAGATTTAGAAGCAGCCCTACACTTGGTTAAGGAATAAAACTTGGATCTTAACCTCCACAGGCCTCCAGAGGCTTTCTTACTGCTCTGTGTCCTCCAGCCTTCTTAGTCTTCCCTTGAAGTGTGAGGCCCAGGGCAGGACAGACTCCTAAGGACAGAGGTTGGAAAAGGAGGGGGGCAGATCGGAGCAGATCACGTACAGCAGTCTTAATGAGAAGAGACATAAAGGGTGACTCACGTGGTATCTCCCTCATGGCTCTTGGTAGACCCAAGGCTGAGAAAGAGTTTTTAGCAATTCTCCTCCACTGCTTTAGCTAAAATATCTAAAATCTTTGCTTTTCACATTTCAGCCTGTGAGCAGCCTATAATTCATTTTTATGTATATTTTAAAGTATTGATTTTTTCCCCAAATATGGATAATTGAGTCCGCACTACTTAATGAATAGTTGACATTGCCCTCTGCCCAGTCCTGCCACCTGGGTCAGATACCATGGTTTCATTATTTGCTTTGGTCTATATTGTGCCATCTATTCTGTTCCATTGGTTTACTTATATACCTCTGCAAAAGTACCATATATATTCATTGTTATCCTTTGCAGCACCTGTAATATTCACAAGAGAAAGCATTTCAGGGCACCTGGGTGGCTCAGTCAGTTAAGCGTCTGCCTTCCACTCAGGTCATGATCCCAGGGTCCTGGGATTGAGTCCTGCATCAGGCTCCCTGCTCAGCGGGAAGTCCACTTCTCCCTCTCCTTCTGCCCCTCGTGCTGCTCATGTTTGCTCTCTCTCAAATAAATAAATTTTAAAAATCTTTTTTTTAAGATTTTTTTTAAATCTTTAAAAAAAAGAAAGAGGAAGCAGTTCTACCGTTTTTCTTCTTTTTAAAAATGATTTAGCTTGCCAAAGCTCTCTAGTCCTTCCCAGTATTAGAATCTGTTGGAATTCTGATTGAACTCTCACTTAATATATAATTTTAAAGAAACTTTGCATTATTTTATAAAGCTCTTGCTTTCATTAATATGGTGTATCTCTATATTTACTTGAGCAGTTTTTGATCTTTCCATATTTCATAACTCTTCCCGTGTAAATATCACACATAATTTGTCAGATTAATTCTTAGGTATAATGTTTCAAGCCTTATTTTCTATATGCTTCTGAATTAAAATTATGAACAGTATCTAGAAAATATGCTAAACTCATTTATTGATTTTAAACACCTATCGATTCTGTTTTCTCTATAGATATCATATCATCCGCAACTAACAGTTCCTTATTTATTCCTTTTTATTCCTTATCTATTTCTTTCCAATTTTAAATCGTCCTAACAGACTATGAATTCTCCTCCCACATGGGGTGAATAATGTTATTTTTATTTGCACAGTTTTCAATAGATCTTATTATTTCAACCCCACATTCATCCCCCAGTTATTGAAATCTCTTTTGAGGATGTCTACCCACATCCAAGTTGCTCTCCACTTTTCATCTCCTTGAGTTTGTCTTCCCCAGACATTCCTGACCTCTTGCAGTCTGGCTCCCTGTGAACACGTGAGGCTCCTGTCATCTTGGCCCATCCCTCGCTCATCTCTTATGCTGTATTTATACCTCATACTTTCTGTGTCTCAAGTCTCCCTATTTCTCAACTGACATTTCATTTTTACAGAGATCCTGGGGAAGGGGGTACTAAAGGTAAATTTTACAAAGCAAAGTACATTTGAAAATGTCTCTCTGTTATGTTCATACTTGATGGATACTCGGGTTTCACATTGAATCTAGGGAGGATTTCATCTTCTTTAAGATTGGAAGCCATTGCTTCATTGTCTTCTAGCTTTCAGTGTCAACCTTGAAAAATCAGCTGTTCTGTCAACTGATCCTTTTTGTGACTTGTGTTCCCCCCCACACGCCCAGAAGATTTTATGTTGTTTTCTGTTTGCTGGGTAGTCAAGGATCGGACTATTTTTATCCTTTTGACTGAATATTCAGTGATCCCTGACTGCCTAGAATTTTTTTTTAGGGTTGTGATATGTACCTGATTTTTCGAAGTTTATCCTCCTTGCATTTTCCCTATTATTTATTTTTGAAGTAATATTTAGCTATAACACATCCTCGTCTTTTCCTCAACTATAATTTTTTTCTCTCCTTCAGCACTATGTTTTTGCTTGATATTCCAGAATATCCCACACTTTCCGATCTACTTGTTGAATTTTTCATTTCTGATCATATATTTTTGTTTTACAGAAGCCTCCTTCCTTGTGTCGAGAGATCACCTGTTGTTTGGGTATTCGACGCTGTGTCCCACCTGAGTACCTCAGTGTATTCTCAGCACGGTTCCATCGACCGAGCCCTTATCCCTCAAGTTGCTTTTGTTTCTGTGTTTTTAGTACCTTTCTGTAATATAGTCTTCAAATATGTGACAATTCTGACTTTTCTATTCCTAGCTAAGAGCAGGATACTGGAAAGGTGACTGGCAGCTCGGGCCCTTCGACGGCGCGGGTTCCCTGGGAGGGGAAGTGGCACTGAAGAGGGCCGGGAAGGCTCAGGGTGGGGCCGAGGTCTTTGCGGATGGGCCCCGTTTCCAGCGCAGCCGTCGGCCGCGTGCAGCGCCCCCAGGCCGGGCACCTGTGCTGTGTCCTGACCCGCGCCCAGGTGGACCGTCGTGGGAATTCCTGCAGGTCCGCCTCTTGAGCACGCAGGCTTCCTTCTGACCCTCCCGGTGGCTGGACGTGGCAGGAGCAAGACTAACCTGTGACGCCAGCCCGCCGCTGAGCGGCGTAGGAAGGTGCATCTCCTAAACAGCCCGCAAGTCTATGTTTCTCTCAGCGCTCTCAGAAAGCCTTAGGAGGAAAAAAAAAACAAAGAAAAAGAAAGAAAGAAAGAAAGAAAG